CACAGCACTCCACCATCTCTGTGCATCTAGAGCAGAGAGAATACATATGCACCAGCAGCAGATACAATTTTCTACACTCTGGGTCCCGGCCCCGTCGCCCCCCCCCCCCCACACAGTCTGGCACCTGAGGTGGCCGCCTCAGTTCGCCTCATGGTAAGGCCAGCCTTGCCCCCAGACACTATTCTGAGCCAGCTGAGTAAAAACAACAAAAGAGGTTTGAACCTGATGAAAGAACAAAACATTGTAGTATAAAGGAAGCAGAATAAAGAGCCTGCTGGTCACATCAGTGGAATGGTCCCATCCTCTACTATGAAGAAGCTTTGTTAGAAAGATACAACTTGTTAGGAAATTCCCTAGGTAAGCTGTGCGAAGAGGGATGTGCTTGTGCAGTAGTATTGGGTTTTATAGCCTCTGCAGGCTGCAGCCACAAGGAGGAGAGAGGGACACGGACACTTTATCAGGTCTACGTACAGCAGAGGACAGCACTGTGTGCCATGCACACACGCGCGTGCACACACATACACACAAGTGGGGATGGAAGGAGAGCTGTAGCGTATGACATAGGAAAGTAGGTTCCTACCAGATGGGAGTGGTGCTGGCGATGCATTTCCCGCCTCATGCCGGTACTTCCTTCGCGCCGTGGGTGCTTTTGTGGTGCTGTTGTGCCTCTGGCATTTCTTCACACTCCAGCGCCGGGGTTTCCTCTCGCTCTCCGCCAGGGCCTCCCCAGTAGGCAGCTTCTTGAGGAACTTCTTCTCCACATACTTGACCTTGATCCAAGCTTCCTTATCTTGCCTAAGGGCAGTGCAGGAAAAGGCATTTGCTCCGCTGCCTTGGGAAGGGGCGTGGCTCATTTAAACCTGCCAGCGAGGAGGCCTGGCAACCCCAGGCTCTTCTCACACTGTGACTCGTTGAACCTTGATGGCACATGGGCAGGGGCAGAGTGGGACACAGCAGGGATGCTGCCAGGCTCAGGGGCCCAGTGGGGGCACCTTAAGCCTGGTTCCCCAGCCGTTGGACCACGCGCAGCCTGAGTTAGTCAAGTTGTACAAATGACTACGGGAGAGTTGAGGCCAGGAAGAACCAGGAACTGAAAGTCAGGACACCGGGGGAGGGGCGAGGGCGAGGGTCTGTTCCTAGCTCTGCCACTGGCTCACTCTGTAGCCTTGGGCATGTCACTAAAGGCAGAATCCTCCAGCGTGGGGGGCCAAACATCAGGCACCTAAACATATGGCCTGGTTTTCAGAGATGCTGAGCAACCGCAGCTCCCAGTGACATCAGGTCTAGTCTGGAGGCTGTGCTCTGGAGCGGCAGCTCTCTGAAAGGGGCTGAAGGCAGAGGCCAGAGCCTGGCTGGGCAGATGGAAGTATTTTCACTCCCAGCACTGTGAAGGAAGCAGGGCAACAAGATCTGTCATAAAGACCTAAACATCGTCCCTGTTTCCAAGAACAGCAGAACGGCTCAGCACGGCTTGTTCTCTGGGGCAGCCAGCAGCAGGCTACGATGTGTAGCTGGCATGTGACGGGCTAAGCTGATCTCTCACTCCATTTGCCATACTTCCCTGAAGATATACGGGCCCCCTGCTGGCCTGAACCTCAAATTCAGAGAGGTGGGGAGACATCCCGAAACCGGACTGAGCTGGAGGGGCTCCGACTTACCTGGAGCTCCCGGCAGTGGGCTTCTTAAGTCCCAGCTCTTCACACTGTGCCTCATAAATCTGGTTCATGGTGCTGTTCCCCAGCTCGCACATTAGCTGCGATACACCAAGCGAGGGACAAAGCAGGTGAGTAGAGCAGCCTCCTCCCAGCTTACCCTCAGCACCCCCCTGGCTTCCCCTCTCCCTACTTCCTCAGCCTCCTGGCTCTGAAAATCAGCACTCACTTTCAGTAACTCTGGCTCCCAGGAATCCAGGGTGAGAGAGCGGACTTTGGAACAGTGAACGCCCAGACTCCTAGAGAAGGAAAGGGAAGACAGAGACTGGTTACTGGCTGCAAAACAGACTCTGTACAGGGCATCCCTGTTATAAGTTGCCACGGTATACATCCATTCCGCATGAAAGTCACTGATGTTTGTAGGAACTGATGCGTTACAAGTCCTCCCATTCCCCGCTCTTAAGTCATGCAAAAAACTCAAGAAAACAATTTGTGCAAATGGAAGTCAGCCACAGGAAAAAAATTCTCCACTTGAAGTTGTTTCACTTAAGTCCAGGTTTTTTGGAACGTATCTTGGACTTTTAGTGAGGACGGCCTGTACATCAATGCAGAACGGCTAGTGGATCACAGGGTGAAGGAGGGCAAACCCGGTGCGGATGTATATCGCAAAAGGCACTGATTGAAAGAGGGAGAGAATGTCACATATACAGAACCGATCCCTTTCCTGTTCCGGTTAATTCTTCAAAAGAAAATGGAACTCAAGGGTGTTATTTGTCAATGAAATCTTTTTTACTTTTATTCTCTCTACTCACAGGCCCTGCTAGGAAACCTGGAATGGAAACAGGTTGTCTTCATGACACTTGTATTCCACCTGTACATGTGAGTGCCAGCTTGTTATTGCAGGGCGGTTTGTGAGAGCTGAGTTGGGTGACCAGATGTCTTGATTTTATTAGGATTGTCCTGATATCTGGGGCTTTATCTAATATAGGCACTTATTACTCCCCCTTGCTCCACCATCCCAATTTCTCACACTCAGTGTCTAGAATTGGGTTGCACAGCATACACATAGTTTATTATTATTATTAATAATACCATTTTGTGCATATATAGCAACTTGCACCCCTAGAATCTCAAAGCACTTTACAAAAGTGTGCAAGGACTATCCCTATTTTAGAAAAGTAGTCAGCAAGGCACAAACAGGGTAAATCACTTCCCCAGGGTCACAGAGTAAGTACGAAGCAGTTGAGAACAGAGTCGAGAGCTCCTGAGTGGTTAAAGCTGGGAGTCAAGTTCTTCATCAATTCTAGCACAGGGGAGCTAGCAGTAGAGACAATATTAGCTCCTCTGGCTGTTGAAGATGTTATTAGTTGGTGACTGTAAAATGCTCTGTAGATGAAAAATGCTAAGTATTGTTAGCACAGCCAAGAAATTACACTCCTGGCTAGCTAGTATTTCATAGTGGGACTTGTGCTAGTTCCTTTACATATATCAATACTCTGTATGCTGCAGATAGAAAATAATACGTGTGGCTATACAGAAATATATACAGTCTGAACCTTCCTAGTCTGGCACTCTCTGGTCCGCAACTTCCGCGATCCGGCATGATTTGGGTTAGCCGGACAGCCACTTAGCGGGTGCAGCCAAGTTTCCCGGGTCCCATAAAGTTTGTTTGCAGCCCCCAGCTCTCAGTGTTCAATGCTGTTATTTAGCTCCAATGTTTTCTAAGAGCCCAGTAAGCAGTGGAAGTGCTGGCAAAATTGACCTCCCTTCCCCCAGGCCCTCACCCCACAGTACCTGTGGATCCCAGAGCACTCGATGCACAGCAGAATGCCCAGGTTGATACTGGCCCATCGGGGATCAGCCTGGCCACAGTCACAGCACTGGTCGTTTCCAGGGATGCTCTGGACCCTCTGCAGGATGCTCTCCCCCTTCATACTGCGTTCCCGGGAGTCGGTGGCAGAGTCGATGCTGCTCGTGGAAGGGGAGGCGGTTCGGTCCAGTCTCTGCAGGGAGAGAAGGGGACTCATTGCGTGCCCTGCAGCACAGCCTCTCCCAGTGGACAGCTGGTGGGGAGTTACATGTGTGCAGGCTGATGGGTTAGCTATGATTAGCTCTGCCATTACAGGGGGGCACCAGCATCACCCAGGGGGTGGCATTACAATTCTACTGATGGCTTTGTGCGAGGGCAGTCACAGAGGAAAAATGTCAGCTGGGCAAACGTGAGCTTGAGTCAGCTGAGGGAGAGGTGGGAGGAGGCGACATGGATCTGTGCCTTCCCTTTCAGTACTCAATGCTTTCTTTGCCTCTGTATTCACGGACAAGGTCGGCTCCTGGACTCCTGTGCTAAGCGACGCAAGATGGGAAGAAGATGGACAGCCCTTGGTGGGTAAAGAACAGGTTAGGAACTATTTAGAAAAGCTAAACGTACACAAATCCATGGGTCCGGACTTAATGCACCCAGACAATTCTGTTCCTTCTTTAAAAACTTCCAGTCTCGCTCACCTTCCAGCGTTTCCTTAATCGACCACCTCTGTCTCTATTTTTACCCCCTACCATTTCACACATGTATAGCTTCGCTTGTGAGCAGTGCCACTTATTTCAATTGGAGGAAAGAGCACTTCACAGGAATAAAGTAACACACATGTCCACACACTGACAGGGACGATGTCTACACTAGAGAGTTTTTTCCGAAAAACGGCCATTTTTCAAAAAAACCTTGCAGTGTCCACTCCTCAAGCGTGTTTTTGCGCAAAAGAATCGAAAGAACAGAGGGTTTTTTCCAGGATAGATATTCCTCATTCTCCAAGGAAGAACGCCTTTTTGCGAAAGAGCTCTTTCACAAAAAGGCATGTGTGGATGGGGAAGAGAGGTTTTTTTGCGCAGAAAGAGGAAAAAGCACAGGTGGCCATTCTGTGCATAGCAATCAGCAGTCTGTACATTCTCTTTTGTGCAAAAGCGCATTGCTTTTTCGGTGTGCTTTTGCAGTGTGGACGTGCTCTTGTGCTAGAAGTTTTTGCAGAAGTTCTCTTCTGATACAAGCTTCTTGCGCAAGAAGCCTGAAGTCTAGATGTAGCTAGAGAGACATAGCTAATGGTTTTCCAAAGCATTCAGCATTCATCTAACTCAGTCCTGAGTGAAGCTAATGTAATAAATACTCCACCTTATTTTGATCTGAACTGGATTTGTGTTGTGCATTTAATAATAGACTGGCCCCGCTTTCTTTTCCACAAATACAGATTGAAACCTTCCAGTCACTGTTTTAATGTGATGCTTTTGTAGATTGTTTTCCCCACTATTATTGCAGCTTGCCCTTTTCTGAAAGCATTGAATTAAAAATCGGGAAAAAGAGGGGGGGTTGTTTTCAATAAACACAATGTTCTGTAATAGCAAGATTGTAATAATTAATGGCATCAGTACACCTGCCAAGCAGAATCAGTTGAGTAGAACATCTCATTATAACAGCCTAGCACCAGCACGGTTCCTGTGGGATGTAGAGTAAATATTTAATGATTTTTTTTAATAGCTGAGAGACAATGCCTGTAATAAGCCAATGTATCTTCAGGTAATATTGAAATAACTTTGCTACCCACAATGCATAAACATGGAGTGTTTCTGGTAATTAATAAACCACTTAATGCACGAAGGGAATGATGCGGCATTGAGTATTTGTTAAACTGTCTAATTAGAGGTTTCATTTCTTGATCAAGTGCACTGAAATTGACAAAATTTATTGATTCAGAGGTTAAAGATACTGTAGAGCCTATGAACTGTAAATGTCTGCTCCTCTTTATTTGCTTCATCTCGACGTCTCATTGTTCTGTTCAATGTGGCCATCTTTCTGAGGTTCTTAGGTCTGTTAATTGTGGAATCCATTCCTGCGCGGTGCCAAGTATCCTCCACTCCCATAAACTTATGCTAGAATTCTACTGTGCCATCGTGGGCTCATGTAATTGTCTCTCATACAGGTCCTATGTGAAGAGAGGTTAAAAAGACTTGGACATTTCAGCTTAGAAAAGAGGAGACTAAGGGTGGGTGGGAGGTGATCGAGGTCTATAAAGTCATGACAGGTGTGGAAAAGTGAATAAGGAAAAGTTATTTAGTTATTCCCTCAAAATAAGAACTAGGGGTCACCAAATGAAATTAATAGACAACAGATTTGAAGGCTTCAATATCGAAGATCTAGGTGAAAGGATTATTCTAAGAGGGGTGGGTGAGATTCTGTGGCCTGCACTGTGCAGGGGGTCAGACTAGATGATCATAATGGTCCCTTCTGACCTTAAAGTCTATGAGTCTATGAGTCTATGAGTCTTTCCATAGGGTCATCTGAAGAAGTGGGCTGTGCCCATGAAAGCTCATGATCCCATCTCCATGTTTTGTTACTCTTAAAAACCAGCAAATGATCTGGTAGCACTTTAAAGTTTTTCCATTGGAGTTTGCTACTGTGAAGGAAGGGAAGGGAATCTTTTGCCTGTGCTACTGCCTTCTGCCGCCAGATGGCGCCCACAATGCATTTCCCCCCCATACCCCCACCCCACACCAGGCACACTGCTGCAAACAGGCACCACAAATGACTGCACGGTGTCTAACGTGTCGCTGCTTTGTCTTCCTCTCATTTTACCGAGAATGGACTCCCCTCAGCGTTCCTCTGTAGGACAGGAGCAAGGTGGGGGGTTTCCAGTCTGCACTCCATCACCCCCCCCCATCCTGCCCCTCTCTGCTGTGTGAGCTACCACAGTTGCCTTTGGATTGGTGCTGTCATCCGCCCCATGCCCCCAGGCAGAGGGAAAGTTTTAGGGCTACTCGTAGGCTCAGCAGCTCCCCGCGCATGCTAGCAGACCGCATGTGCCCAGGAGCGACACTGCGAGAAGACTGTGAGTGCCTGTCCCTGCCCCTGGCCTCACCTCGATGTAGTAGCTGTCTGGGCTCTCTCGGTAGTTGCCTTTGGATTGGTGCTGTCATCCGCCCCATGCCCCCAGGCAGAGGGAAAGTTTTAGGGCTACTCGTAGGCTCAGCAGCTCCCCGCGCATGCTAGCAGACCGCATGTGCCCAGGAGCGACACTGCGAGAAGACTGTGAGTGCCTGTCCCTGCCCCTGGCCTCACCTCGATGTAGTAGCTGTCTGGGCTCTCTCGGTAAGCGAGTCGGCCTGCAGCATGCAGCTCCTGGGTGGGGAAAAGGCACACGAGATGCTGGTTGGCAGGAGGATGCAGGGCAGGGGGTCTGGGGAGCTGTGGCGAGGCACCTGAATTTATGACCATCCTCACAGCCTCGCTTCACCGGTACGGTTTGGAGATATGTGGTCAGGAGGCAAAGTTACCCAGTGCAGCATGAGGCAAAATTAACCGCAGAGAAGTCCTTCCTCCTCATCCTGCCGAAGATCATTAAGGCTGCCCTGCTTTCGCCCCCGCATACATGTCGGGTGGGTGGAAAACAGGAATGCGACAGCTTCTCTCCTCAGCCTGAGCCTTGATTCCCTCACACCAGCTGTTCACTGCCCACAGTGCTGCCCTCATTAGGTATCAGAGTAGGCACCTCCATGAGCCCCCTCTGCAGGGCAGTGAGGCTCAAAAACACCTTGCATCCCCTCATGGTCAGCGCTATTGCCCCCCATCTTCCCAGGGGCTCAGCCTGCCCTTTAAGGGGTGACAGCACCACAGTCTCATGATCAGACAGACACTCCTGTAGATGGGGGGAATACATTAGGGGCACCACCAGCCACATGTACACCTCAGCTTCTCCTCCTTACATACTTGCAACCCTCCTCTCACACATGCCCCTATTCCCACCCATTCTCTCCCCCCACCCTCCCTCCTCTCATTTGCTGCTCCACTCCTCACCTCACAATTATCCTCCCTCATCCGCCCCCTTCATCCTCCCACTCACCACATGCTCCCTCTTCCTCCTCTTTCACCCACACAGAAAATCCCTCCTCTTCCCAAACATACCCGTGCCTGAAAACACACTCATGCTCCCCCTGCTTCACCATCCCCCTGACTTATCAGCTCCTTCCCACTTCCCCTTACATGCATGCTCCCTCTGCTCTGATGTTTCTAATGCCCCCAGCAACTGGTTGCTTCATGGAGAGCCATGCTGGTGACTCAACACTTTGTGAGGGAATACGGCCCAGACCCTTGTAAATTCCCCTTGAGCATTATTCATCAGCGTTAGCAGCTCCCCGTCCGACAGGCTATCACCAAACACCGCTCAGCATCTGGTTGAAAAAAATCGACAGCCCATCGAACTGCAACTCTGAGTGCCGACAAGGAGGTCCCCAGGTTGGAATCTACTTGCTGGGTATCTTACAACCCCACACATAAATCACAGCATTGCAGTCTGTGGCTTAGCAGAAGCACCAAACTCACTTGGTAGGTGAGACGACCTCAAAGCAAAATCTTCTCTCTATGTCTTCGCAGGGCTTGACAGTACAGAGCCGCAGGTCTTCCACCACCACTGTGAGGACATCCTGAAAGAAGGAGAGCGGATGAGTTGACACACCTCCCGAATCTCCACCCAGTTCAGGCCTTCCACAGAGCTCTTCCTCTCCTCGCCAGTTCCCCTGTCCAGATCATTCATTCCTCAGCGTGAATCTCAGAAGGGTCAGCACTTGTGCTGACCCAGCCACCCTTCTTTGGTCTGCAAGACTGGGGAGGCAAATCTCATGGCTGCTGGTTCTTTCATAAAGTTTCTGGTGCTTCCAGCCTATGACGAGGTTGGAAATACTTTACAGATTATTATTGCATGGTATTTTTAAGCACAACCCCTACTGGCAGGGATCCCAAAGAGCAGGGATATGATAACTAATTGGAGGAACAAAGCAATTGAAGCTTTGCATAATTCAGAGACAATTTGTCTTAAGTTTTGGACAAAGGATTTTGTGTGAGGAAGAGGGAAATTGGGGATGCAGAAGGAATGGGTGTTATTGTTGATGATGGGGTGATCATTGTGTTTCCAATTCCCTACCAAATCCACCAACAATACAACTGGCAACTGACCGTCAGTGGGTGTCAGGTGCAGCTTATCATGCTGACCAATGTCATCTCACTGTTTCCTTGTACTTCCCCGTATGTCTGTTAGAATCTATTTGTTGTTGCCTGTTGTCTGTTGAGATTGAAAACCCTTTGGGGGCAAAGGCTGTCTTTTTGGTCTCTGTTTGTACCGAGCCTAGCACCATGGAGTGTGTGTGACCTGTGACTAAGGCTCCAAGTGCTACAACTATAAAAATTAATGACAATCAGACCCCAGCCTAGGAATTACCAGCTCAGAGGGAAGCCCCACTGACTTTGCCAGGGTGCTGGATTTCAGAGTGCGACAGTGCTGTCTCCTTCCCTTTTTCCTCTCAGCCAGCCAAAGGAGTAACCAAGCCCACTTTCCGAGCCCTGCCGATTTAGCAGGCTGGAATGGAGAGATTGCCCCTCCCAGTGAATCTGGGCACACGCAATCCAAACACGGGATAGCAAACACAGACAGCAACAAGACTATTCGACACACCACCTCTCTGTTATTCCATGGGGCAGCAAAAATGGGGACAATACCAGCCACCGTCTTTTGGTTGTCAGAGCAGCTTGGATTCTGAGTGTAATATTATCTGAGAGGAAATTTCAGACCAGGCTTGCTGTCAGACCTTCCTCGGATCCAATTCCTCTTCCCCCTCTCCCCTCCACGATGCTAAAGTCCCCAGGGCAGCAGACAAGTTGGCTAATCTGCTAATGTCATCGGAGCTATGCTCACTGACCTTTAGCTTCTTCTGGTACACCAGCTGGCTGTTCTGTATGGAGAACCACCTCCTGAGGAGAGAGAGGAAAGAAAGAGGCGTCAGAGCAAACAAACAGGGCTAAAGCTAAGGCGGGAGAAGCAGCCTGCCAAACAAGACATCTCTGCACTCACAACATGTGCCATTGACTTTGGGGTGGCGGGGAATACCTGTGCGGGAATCAGACTTATCTTCCTTCTGAGACTATAGAAGTGCTTTGTAACATTAACGAATTATGGCATTTGGCATGGAGGCACCGGGGGGAACAGTGTCCTGGAGATTGCTCTAGAAAGATTGACACACAGGAAGAAAGAAGGGGAGGAGTTGTCCACATTGTTTCTTAAGTGGGCCAGGCCTCTTACTGCCCCCTCACTTGGGAGTTTGGGGGCAGAAGCTTGGCTGAGAGGAGTGGGATGACAGGGCCACCCTGGGGAGACGGGGCAGGCCAGGGAGTAGAGGAGAAGGCAAAAGACTTCCAGAGGCCTGGTTTCAATTAACACCACACTGCCAGTGGGCCCACTGGTGCGGCAGGCAGAGGGTGCTCTGTGATGCTTGAGCCCTAACTCCAACCTTTCGCCCCACACCTACAATCCCTGATTTCCCCTGACCCACAGTGACCCTGCTCCCCAACCACAGGCATTTGCGAGGTCACTGCCTCCACCACATATCCAGAGCGACTTTGCTCCCAGCCCCTGGCCTGTGTGAAAGCATTGCCCCACCCCCACCTTGAGAGCCTACTGAACCCTAACAGTTTGACTGGCGGCAATCAGGCCTTTCTGGTTTTCTGACTTTTGCCAAAATCTGCAGGGCGCTGCCCAGGGATGCCTAGGACATTCCCGGAAACGTGTGGACTGATCGGCTGCTGTCTTCAAAAGCGATCACCTCACAGACAGCAGAATGCCATTGAGTTGCGTTGCTAAGCCTTACCTCACATGGCCGAAGACCTCTGAGCCTCCATGCGGCCCATCCGTCCATCCCCCGCTTCACGGCTTGGCTAAGGCGCGTACGGCACGTACCACCATAGCACTGAAGAGCACTTTACAGCTGGAGAAACTATGGCGTGTGCACACCCGGGTGACATGCTTTGCCCAAGCCACAGAGATCCAGCGTCAGAGATGGGATTATAACCCAGGGCTATGTCTAGACTGCAAGCCTCTTTCGAAAGAGGCTTTTTCGAAAGATACTTTTGAAAAAGCCTCTTTCGAAAAAGAGCGTCTAGACTGCAAGCAGAACTTTCGAAAAAGTAAGCCGCTTTTTCAAAAGGCAGTCTGGATGCTCTCTTTTGAAAAACCCTTGTTTGCATTCAAGAATGCCTTTTTTTGAAAGAGCACTTTCGAAGGAAGGCGTTCTTCCTCGTAAAATGAGGTTTACCACCGTCGAAAGAAAAGCCGCGTTCTTTCGATTTAATTTCGAAAGAACGCGGCTGCAGTCTAGTGACGTTTTTTCGGAAAAAGGCTACTTTTTCGGAAAAAAACCCTGAGTCTGGACACAGCCCAGGTGTTCTCACTGCATTCCTGTGAGTTAGTCACAAAGACCCTCTTTTTGCCACTAGGGGGGGCCGAGGACGCTGACAGCAAGACATAATATTACATCCCATGGTGGCTGAAATATGTGGGCATGCACCAGGAGGAAGGGGAGGGTTTAATAGCCTTGAATCTGGATGTTCTGGGTCAGGTTTTCGAAGGAGCCACCTACGTTGTGTCTGCACCATGTGTGGCCCTCTGTTTGAGCCAACAAAACCCTGGATTTATCGCAAACCATCTGCATCACATTCCTAAGTAAGAGCACTTGAGTCAGCCTGAACATCCTCCCAGGTTTAGACAGTCTGGGGAAGAAGCCACGCTGCAGCTGTGCTAGAGACGGTGGGTTATTTTAAGCATCTCCCTATGCTTGCCATGCAAAGGAAATCGGCGCCCTGGGAAAATGAGGCAAGAGAGGCTTTTTCAGCTCCTTTGCGGAAACGTTGCTCAGTGAGAAAAGGTGCCGACTATGAAGGACTTGATGCATCTGCCAGGAAACAGAGCAGCGTGCAGCCTGGAGGCCAATCTGCCTGCGTGGAAGCCCCCTTTGATCAGCTCCTGAGCGAGTCTGGATCTTTGAGCTCCACCTGGTGACAGCCATTCGCTCCAGCAGCGGCAATGGCATATTCTCAAGCCGCTGTGCAGTGACATGAAGCCGAGTGCAAGGTTCCCTTCCCAGCTGTTTGATCCTGGGTGCTGCTCGTCGTGGCTCACTCTGTACTGCTGCTTAGCTGGAGCACTCGCATCCGGGGCTGTGCTGGAATACGGTCCTGGATCTCATTCTGACCTCCAGGGGTTGTCTTCGTCCCATTTTCTTCTGTGTATGTTTCTAACAGGGACTTCTTCCCAGGGCCCCTTGCAGCCCCATTAGTATCTTCCCACCCACGGTCAGGGAGGATGTGCCTGGCTGTAATAGCTGGGCTATGGGGGGATAGGAATAGCTGCCTTGGGTGGAATGGGGTATATTTCTCAGACCTCCCCTGGATCATCAGCAGGGGAGAGAAGGGGACTCACTTAGAAACACCCATCCCTGCACTGTAACCATTGATCACCATTGATCTGATGCATTCTGGAATGGCGGGGGAAGGGGGAGTGCTTTTGCATCAGGAAGCCTGGCTCTGCTGAGTGAAAGACGCCATGGGAGAGCCTGAGATTCGAGGAAAAGCTGCATCGGAAATGCTGCGAGGAAACTCCTAAATGGTTCATAAATTCAGCTCAGAGGCGTGCCCTGTAGGTCCTAGGTTAGCGAGCACCATAGCCAAGCCTCTGCAGCACAGGGCTGCAAACATCACCAGGGCAGCTGGTCTCTCCAGAATCTGGCATTTTGGCTTCTGGTCCCTCAAGAAACCTTGAAGGGCAGAGAATGCACTTGAATGTCACGCAAAGGGCAAGCCGACAAACTGGTTTGGAACTGTAAAGAAGGCCGAGCTAGGGGCAGTGTTCCCTGTAAGCCGAGTGCCACCCGGGAGAGATTCAAAGGCCACCCAGCTGATTAGCAGAGCACCCACAGCTGGCAGTGTGTGTTTCTATCGGTGGTGCACACCCGCACATGCCTCGGTGCACAGAACAAAATGTATTTGATATGGCTGGGGGTGAAGGCTTTGGGAGGGAGGGGCTTACTCCATCTCATCTGTCTCTAGGCATAAAGCCAACCGTTTTGGCACAAAAATACAGGGGCATTGTGAGCTACTAGTTGGTTCCAATGATGCACAGCTCCACCAAGCTGCAGAAATGACCCTGCACTTGGACAGGAAGGTGACCTCCAACTATTATATCATTGCACTGCCAGGTGAGAGGGGACAACACCAGCGAGGCGTGGGGGGCACTAAAACCAGAGGTCTAAATTTTATGCACTAAAACCAGAGGTCTGAATTCTACTTTCAGCCACACGAGCATAAATCAGGCCCATTGACTGTCCCAAGGGTTACTAGTCACACGCAAATATTCACTGAGGAAAGAACCCGGAGCCCTCTTTGCTTTCACTTCACCTAAGTTCATGGGAGCTAGGGAGCCACTAGAGCCATGCAGGAGACATTTATTAAATTGCATCCCCAATGACTCATCCTCTAAAATATTTCTGTGTGACAGAGAGATAAAGCTCTGCCCAGAGGAACCAGCTCACAGCTGCACACCCGACATTTCCAGGCTCCCAGGGAGGTTGGATACCAGCAGCTCTCGAAAGCCAGGCTTGTCCTGCTGCGTTAGATGTTCCTCTTGATGGTTACAAGCTTACGGCTTCCCTGAGGCCAGACTCCAGCTGCTTTGTGTCCTGTGTTCCCTGCATGAAACCCAGTGGTTGTCCCAAGATGGAAGGCGCTCGCTGTCACTTCTGCTGGCATTTAGCAAGTAACAGCAAACTGCAGGTGGGCTGGCTGTGCTCGTCCCCCTTGAGGACCGTACCAGTTCTCAGCAAAGAAAAAAGTAGGCTATTCCCAATCCATTCTTGGTCTCCCACACTACTGTTCCCATGGTGACCATAGGCCCAGCTGGACCAGACTGCTGGTAGCTGGTAAAATAAAGAAGTGCTAACACCAGAAAGACTTACTGATTTTCAGTGGGAAGGCTGAATGGTCCCACAGTTTCAGGGTCAGGAGAAGTCAGTTTGTTCTGCAGACAATCTTCCCTCCCACAAAATACATAGTGTTTACTGAGCCGAACCCTTTCTGTCTAGAACACACCAGCATCACTGGACCCTTCCTACATTAAGTGACTTCACAAGCTCAGCTCAAAAGGAGTTAAGTGATGCTGCACTGACAGACCAACCTTCCTACGCTGTGTGGGTCGGGAGCTGATGAGGCCTCTTCTGCAAAAATACGTGCTCAGAGATATCACAAAGGCAGTGAGTGTGCAGAGGGTCTGAAGAGGCCTTCAGAGCCCTTACCCAGTTATCCACTGGGCTGCACATTGCTACTTACCGATTCCATGTTTTGAAAGCATTGCTTGCTCTCTTGAAGAGGTACCCTTCCATCACCACGCCATTGGGGGCATCGACATTAAATTCCACCTTGGAGTCATCATAGGAGAAGTCCTGCAGATGGAAACATGTTGAGAAAACACATCTGGGGCTGCAGGTGCCACTCAGTGCTTGTCACTATAGTGATGGGGATGACCCTGGTAAAAATACTCAGATAAAGTGAATCAAAAAACAGGACTATGTAGCACTTTAAAGACTAACAAGATGGCTTATTAGGTGATGAGCTTTCGTGGGCCAGACCCACTTCCTCAGATCAAATAGTGGAAGAAAATTGTCACAACCATATATACCAAAGGATACAATTAAAAAAATGAACACATATGAAAAGGACAAATCAAATTTCAGGACAGAAAAGGGATGGGGGGGAAGGTAAATGTCTGTGAGCTAATGATATTAGAGGTGATAATTGGGGAAGCTATCTTTGTAATGGGTAAGGTAATTAGATTCTTTATTCAAACTCAGGCGTAAAGTGTCAAATTTAAGCATTAATGACAGTTCAGAGGATTCTCTTTCATTTCTATCAGATAAAGTGTGAACCCATAACACCAAAGCAGCACATCGGTGTCAGAACCATGAGCATCTCCAGTAGGAAAACGTGAACTTGTCTAAGAAGGCTCTGTAGCTCTGAGCTTATTTAAAGCTGCCTTCCCCCCACTGAATACCATGTTCTAATCCATGATTAGGTAACAAGAAAAAATAAGTTGGCTGGTCTCAGCCTGTGTTGTCAGTGGAGGCTGGTTTGCCTCTTGAAAGTACATCCCCTTTTGGAAGTAACACTCATGATGGCCAGATTCTGGACCAGAGGCTTAAAGCACAGAGGGGGTTGTAGGTCAGACTCAGGTGTGATGGCAATTCAGAGTAGTGTTCCAGGCCTGGCACAGCTGAACACATCAGCTGGTGGAACACTGGCAGATCTAGACCCGGACAGTAAGAGCAGAGAGTGCTGGCGGTCAGGAGTGGGGTACACGGGCGGAGCTGTGTTAAGCATTAGCCCGGGAACAGCTGAGGTGGTGCAGGATAGAAGACGCCCTCAAGAAGCTTGCTCTGTCTGGTTTCATTTAGTGATCTCTGTCTCTCACTGTCCTGGCTATTAACATTCCTCTCCACAGTGTTTTGGCTTGTCTTATGGCTTGAGAAAGTGTTCACAAATTCACTTAGTTTGGGCATTTCCCACCTCACTATTCTGGGGGGTGAGGGGTGCTGGAATCAGAGTGACACTTCACTGTCGCATCAAATTCTTCCAGTTTCCTGGCACAGACGTTTATCAGTCACGTTTAGGCAAAATAAGACCTTTTTGGAAGATAGTACTAAGTGATTTGGTTTTTTTATAAAAAGGTCGCTGCCTTCTGCTGGGCATATTTTCATACAACACCCCAGAAAAACTAAACCAGTAGAATCCTCTATCGCACACAACATTCCTGCAACGCCTTGCCTTAGCAGGCCGCAGCAATAATGGAGAGCCATTCATTATGCTCCCGGCCAGTATCCTTAGCTTTTCTAGTCTTAGTAATGTGCATGCAGTTAACCGCTGCTTCTGCTCCAGTGAAAGCTGTGGCTACACGAGCAGCCAGGGAGAGATCATGTGGGTAGCTTGGTAACTTGATGGCTGAAAATGTCCAACCTCAGGTGCAATCTCATTCATCATGCAGTCAGGAATCGGGGCAATCGGTGGTGTTTCCAGGAGGGAGGAAAGAAATCACCAATCCTGTTTCCAGTTTGGCAATCTGTTTGCCAGGTGAATAAGTGGCTATCACATCCATCTCTGTCTCTCTCTATCTCTCTCTCTCACTTCCTGGGTTTGGCATTGCTGTGCCAGTCAGCATCCGTGGATTGTGGTGCATGTGGGCAAACAACAGTAACTATTCCCAGAAAACTCTCATGGAATTCTGCTACCAGCATAGGGCAGTATCTTCTGCCTAATAGAAACCAGATCCTGAATTACTTCCTACCCTAAAAGCGGCGAGGAGTCCTGTGGCACCTTATAGACTAACTGAAGTGTAGGAGCATAAGCTTTTGTGGGCAAAGACCCACTTCGTCAGATGCATGTACGAAAGCTTATGCTCCTACACTTCAGTTAGTCTATAAGGTGCCACAGGACTCCTCGCCGCTTTTAGGGTAGGAAGTAATTCAGGATCTGGTTTCTATTAGGCAGAAGCCACCCTAAGCAGTTTTCTGCAAGCTGCCTTCACCATTATGAAGTCCTCTGTATCCAGCTTCTGCTAGTATGACATGATCCAGAGAAAGGTACAACATGGTCCTATGGCAGGAAGTTAAAGCCAGGGAAATTCAGGCTGGGAATAAGGCATTCATTTTTAATGGTGAGAGCAATTAACCATTGCAGCAATTTACGAAGGGCCATGATGGGTTCTCCATCACTGGCTATTTTTAAATCAAGATGGGATTTTTTATTTTTAAAGCTCTGCTCTTGAAATTTTTGGGGGGGAAGTTCTCTGATCTCGGCTATACAGCAAGTCAGACTAGAGGATCATAATGGTCCCTTCTAGCCTTGGAATCCATCAATGTATGCTCTTGGGCATAAATATTTCTCTCCACGCTGCTAGATTCAAGAGGCCCAACCATACTACAGTAAAAAGCAACACCATTAACTTAAGTGCCTTTACCAGCTCAGTGCATGGAGACTCTAGTAATGCTGTGTTACTAGGCAACTCGCACTTCGGTCTCATTAGGATGAGTTATTTCCATGTTCAGAGATGCCAGCTTGCCGGAGAGGTATCATAATAATAAGAACAATACTGATGGAGGAGGAGATATAATGGGATGAGACTGAGTCATTTCTTGTAAAGACAGCATGATGCCCAATTATCCAGGAGAGGCTATGCTGTAAGCCTCTCACTTAATGGGGGTCCACTCAGCCCCAAATTCACTTACCAGAAAGGGGGTATATGGTCTTCTTTGTGGATGCTTTTTATGTAGCCTCCCAAAAAGAGAGACAAGGGATTCTGATCTCACTTCAAGCCATCTACCAGCTTTAGTGGAATTACGCCAGAAAGATACTTGCAGAAATGAGGTCAGAATCTGGCCTTTTCATTTAGGCTACGTCTACACTGGCATGAATTTCTGAAAATGCTGTTAACGGAAAAGTTTTCGTTAAAAGCATTTTCGGAAAAGCGCGTCTAGATTGTCAGGATGCTTTTCCGCAAAAGCACTTTTTGCAGAAAAGCGTCCGTGGCTAATCTAGACTTTTTCACGATCGGGGCTTTTTTCTGGAAAACAGTACTATGCTGTTTACACTGGCCCTTTTGCGCAAAAGTCTTTCGGAAAAAGACTTTTGCCCGAACGGGAGCAGCATAGTTTTTCCGGAAAAGCACTGATGATTTTACACGAGATCATCAGTGCTTTTCCGGAAATTCAAGCAGCCAGTGTAGACAGCTGGCAAGTTTTTCCGGAAAAGCAGATGATTTTGCGGAAAAGCTTGCACACTGAGAGCCAGCAAACAACAGCTCCTTTCCAAAATGAATGACAACAATAGGGCATGAGATTTCCTGTGGTCAACAGTAAGCAAGTATCTACCCAGCAATTCTGTTATTTCGAAATAATTTCAAAATAACAGTCGGCTTATTCCGACTTCTGTAAACCTCATTCTACGAAGACTAACGCCTATTCCAAAATAGCTATTTCGAAATAAGGCATGCGTAGACGCTCCACTTCTGCTACTTCAAAATAGCCCCTCACCAGGGCCGTTCTAAGTTATTCCTCCTGGGGCTCTAAATCGAGATAGCACGTCTACATTAGAGAAGACTGCCCCGGACTCATTTTGTGGCTTCCCTGCAGTGTAGATGTGCTATTTCGAAATAAGCTATTTCGGAATAACTATTCCAGAATAGCTTATTCCGAAATAACTGTGCAGTGTAGACATACCCTAAAAGTCCTCATTTGCCCCCAATCCCATTTGGCTACCGCAGCTCTTGAACTGTGTTCAAACATCAGGGTGTGGCACAGCAAATGTGCAAAAACAACACCATCTCTCCCAACCTACAATGGATGCAATAAGCCCAGTTGGACTTTCCAACCATAGATGGAGTGAGACGAAAATCACCTTTCTGCCTCGTAAACCGAGTGGCTTTCCCTTCCAATCACACTCTGAAGGGTTTGATGGAACAAGACAAGGGGATTGCACGCTCGCTTCCTCTCCAGCCTCTGCTGCTGTGCCATCTCTTACACGTCACTGCACAAGTTATGGATGGAGACTCAGCTTGATTTTAATAAGCCGCCTTTTGTCAGAACCTTAACATCACTGCAGTGCAAGAACCCGAAAGAAAGCTGGTTTTGGTTTTAATGCAGGTTCACTATATCTATCTCATGGCCTTGTGCAGTGAACACTGGCCTAGGCCCAGGAGAGCTGGACTCCAGGCCTAGCTCCGCCATAGGCCAGCTGGGTGACCTTGGGCAAATCACTTTGCCGCTCTGTGCCTCAGTTTCTCCATATGTAAAAGGAGAATGATGATTCTGAGTTCTTTTGTAAAACGCATTGAGATCTATTGATTACAAGCGAGCTACTCATTAATTTAGCCACCCATGTGTTTTATCCTTATTCATCCATATGGAGTGAGTGTCATTCAGTAATGACAAATGCATTGGGTTCTGAATGCATTGGGTCTGGCTACAAGTGCCCACGCAATAGTAAGGTACCCTCTGTGTTTTGGAGCACACAATGTTAAAATAAAGCCACCCTCAGACACAAGAAATAAGTTCCACATTTCCTCCATCATCTGTTCTCTTTCCTTTCATGCCACTTCAATAAATCACATCGATCCTACCCCTCTGTGCCCCTTCTCCCTGCCCCATCACTTTGAATTTACACCCCAGGCTGCCTGGGAACGGAGGGCCTTTTAGAAATGACATCACAATGGTTTCCATGGGAGCATATTGAATGCCAATGAAGCAATGACAATGAGGTAACAGATTCCAAGAGAGGGATGTGAAAAAGGCCTAGACGTGGATACTTTCAAACTGGCGAGTGGGAAGGGGGGAAAAACCCCACACAGACACGATCTTGTACACAGGGGCATTGAAAAAAAAAGTCAAAGGTTCTT